CCTCCCAGGTGCTGTACAACGTGGCGTCCGCGCAGTGCCGGCTGGGGCTCTGGACCGAGGCCGCCCACAGCCTGGCGGAAGCCGTCTCCAAGTGGCCAGAGGGGGCCCAGGGCATCCTGGAGGCGGCCCTGGGCCGAGTGAAGGTGAGGAGGGCTGGCCGGGCTGCCCGTTCGGGGTGTGTCGACCTCAGCCCTAGAGGCTGGGAGCCTGAGGTGAAGAAGCCTCTGGAGGGAGGGAGGCCCTGGCGCCCAGTTGTGGGGGCTGGGCAGGGCCCCGCAGCTGGCCCATGGGAGGCGGCTGGGGTCCAGGCGGGTGGTGGCCTGCTGGCCTCAGCTGCCCCTCCCCCAGAAACAGGCCCCGCTGCAGCCGCGGCAGATCCCCAGGGGCGAGGTCTTCCGGCCCCCCAGACGGTACCTGGAGCTCCTGGAGCCCGTGGACTTCCTGGGCAAAGCCAAGGTGACGTGGGCTGCGTCCCGGGCCCTGGGTGCCCAGCGGCAGGAGAGAGCAGTGCGGCCACGCTGGACTCCACTGTGTGGCCCTGGCTGGGCCTTCGGACCGTGTCCACGGGGACACGGGGGGTTCAGAGGGTGGAGCCTGCTCCCAGGGATGGGGCAGTGTCCACAGAGGCAGAGCCCGTCTGTGCAGAGGAGGGGTGCCTGCCCTCCCGACAGCCCAGTGGGTGTGCCCCCAGCCTGGGCTGCCACCCCTCTGGCCCCTGCCAGCATCTCTGCATCTCTCTGTGTCTCTGTCTCCCCCTGTGTCTCTGCCTCTCCCCATGTCTCTGCATCTGTGTGTCTGTCTCTCCCCGTGCCTCTGCATCTCCCCTTGTCTCTGCATCTCTCTGTGTCTTTGCATCTCTCCCTGGTCTCTGCCTTTCCCCATGTCTCTGCCTCTCTCTGTGTCTCTGCATCTCTGTCTCTCCCTGTGTCTCTGCATCTCTCCCTGGCCTGTGCCTCTCTCCATGTCACTGCTTCTCCCCGTGTCTCTGTATCTCTCTGTGTCTCTGCATCTCTCCCCGGGTCTCTGCCTCTCCCTGTGTCTTTGCATGTCTCCCTGGTCTCTGCCTCTCCCCGTATCTCTGTCTGTTTCTTGTCTCTGCCTCTCCCTGGGTCTGCCTGTTTCTGTGTCTCTGCACTTCTCTGTGTCTCTGCATCTCTCCCTGACCTGTGCCTCTCCCCATGTCACTGCTTCTCCCCGTGTCTCTGCCTCTCGCGGAGTCTCTGCCTCTCCCCGTGTCTCTGCCACAGTCAGCAAGGGCCGAGGGAGGATTGTGGTTGGCCGGGCCGAGCCGCGTCACACCCTCCCCAGGTCAGAGCCGGCAACATCCCTGGAGTCCCAGGCCCCGGGAGCAACTGTCCCGAAGGCAGGGCGGGTGGGGGGGGAACAGCAGCTCCTGGTGGAGCGGGAGGCTCACGTGGGTCCGCCGGGCCCCGGCGACTGCCACCCCTGGCCACCGGCTGCGGCACTCGAACACAGGTGCCAGCGGGGGGGGCGGGCACGGGAGGCCCTGAGCTGCGTGGATGCCTCCATTTCCACTCCACGCACCACCCTAGAAGACTGTTTATGAAAAACAGAAATATGCTTAAAGTTCTAAAAATAAGTTGAAATTGCCAGCAGATGCTTTCCTCTGTCCCCCACGTTTCCGGCGGGCAGGCTGGGCGTGGGCTCCTTCCCCACCGCGAGGAGCCTGGAGGGCAGGTGGCGGCAGCGCAGGCTGGGGGCACACCCACTGGGCTGTCCCCTGACCGGCCACCCCGCTGTCCCCACCAGGTGGTGGCCTCCGCCGTCCCCGATGACCAGCACTCAGGCGTCAGGCTTCAGCAGCCACAGGTGGGCACCTTGGGTCTGGCCTGTCCTCGCCCGGCCCAGCCCGGCGTTGCGGGACCCTCCGATGCTCCGGAAGGAGACTGCCGCTCGAGCCCTGTGCCCTCCCAGGGCCCAGGGCTTCTCGGATGGGGAGGGGGTGGCTTCCCCTGTGTCCATGTTAAGGATGCGGCAGAGGAGGTCAGGTCATTTGCCCCACACTCTGCCTTTGTGCCTGCAGGGACGGGGAACAAGTCACAGAGCCGGGCCCAGGCCTGCACCATGGTAGGGGACGGCCAGCGCCACGTGGGCGTCCCTGTCCTGCAGCGCCAGGGGGTCTGCCCCTGGCTGGGGGGAGGGCCGCACAACCCTTCTCCAGGTTGAAACTGGCTGGAGCCCCCATGCCAGGGAAGGGTGTCTCCCTCCGCTGTCTCCTCCCCTGGCCCCAGTGCCAGCCCCGTGAATCCGCCCCCGGGGGGAGAGGGATGCCCAGGCCTCAGGGGGCCCGCAGGGAGCAGAGACCCGCAGGGCCACCGTGGATCAGGCAGTGCTGAGCGGGGATGGGGCATGGACTGAACCGTCCAGGGCAGGGCCCCAAGCACCTCCAGACACGGACGGGGCTGCAGAGTGGGGGCGCCCAGGCCCTGGGGTGGGAGACAGACCAGGCCCGAAGTCCGGGGCAGGTCCGGGCCCCAGCCACCCCGACTCCCCCAGGCCACATCCCTGCCCAGACCCTGGGCCCCGGGCACCGGAGGGCCCTTGGGTGGGTTGGCCAGGCCCTGAGAAACTCCCTCTGCCCCCAGGGCCCAAGCCACGGACCCCAGAGGAGCCAGTGCCCACCACAGCCCCCCCCACGCAGAGGCGGCGGTTGGCTCTGACCTGGTAGGGTGGGCCGACACCCCGGGGCAGGTGTGTGTCCCAGCCTCACGACGGGTGGGCGTCCGCACAGCGGCCACGTAGCAGGGCGGGCAGTGGGCAGTGGGGTCAGCCCGGCCGGGGCCGGATAGGTCCAGCATGGGCTGGGCTCGCCCGTGGTCCTCCCCCCGCCCGGCCCTTGGAGGAGAGGCACCGGGGCGGCACTGGCCATTGGGGTGGGGGCTGTCCAGCCGAGGGTCCCCTCAGGCCCTCAGATCAGGATGTCTCAGGCTGAAGTCCCTCCTTCCCGCTCTGGGCGCAAATGACCAGGCATGACGGGCCGGGGACAGAGTAGGAGGAAGGTCAGCCCTGGAGGGCTTCCTGAGGGTCCCATCATCCCAGCTCTTCTGGACACGGCCCCCCACCCTGGGGGCTTCTGGGCATCACCCAGGAGGGCGGGTGCTGGGGGCCGTGCAGAGAAGGCACGGGCCTCGGGACCACTGGGAAACAGCCACCCACCTCCGCTGCCTCCTCCGCTGGGCCCAGTCTAGCGGCGCCGCGCCCTCTGACGCAGGCGCCTCAACCCACCCTCAGCAAGCCAGCCCCGGGCTCAGCCCCAGTCGAGCGTGCCGCCTGCGGGCCGGGAAATCCCATACACTAAAAGTCTAAGCGAAACTCAGGGTCTCAGTCAGCCGCTAAGCTACACCTGTGACCCCGCGGGCTGTGACCCCATGGCCTGTGACCTTAGCCTGTGACCCCACGAGCCACGACCCCGTGGCCTGTGACCCTGTGGGCCCATGACCCTGCAGGCTGTGACCCCGGGGGCTGTGACCTTGTAGCTGTGACCCCACGAGTTGTGACTCCGTGGCCTGTGAGCCTGTGGCCCCACAGCCAGTGACTCCATTGCCTGCTGCCCCGTGGGCCCGAGACCCCATGGATGGTGACCCCTGTGGCCTGCGACACCATGGTCTGTGACTCCAGGAGCCGCGATCCCACAGCCTGTGGCCCTGTGGCCTGTGACTCCACGGGAGGCCTGCCCATCCGTTCACTGGATGGCCAGCTTAGTGTGGAAGGCCAGCATTGCACCCTCCCGGGGGCTGGCCCTGGCCTCGGTCCCGAGCCTCCTTGAGTCCCCGGGGAGCCCCCGCGGGAACCCTGCCTCGGTGGGCCTTGAGCGGTGGGGCGGCCCCACTGGCGAGAGGCAGCCCCTCGGCCTGTCCCAGTGGCAGCTACCACCCTGAACTCAGCCCCGCCGGTCACCTGGCCCCGCCCACTCTTCCTACGGCTTCCCTTGCAGCGTTCCCGGGGGGAGCAGGTGGGCACACAGGCTCCGCCAGCCCCAGGTAAGGGGTCGGGGGTCCCAGGTGTGCCCAGATGAGCCCGGGAAGGGAGGAGGCAGCCACGGCCACCGGGTCAGCCCCTCCGCCACCCAAGGCGTCCTCTCCGTGCCCAGGGCTGCCGGCATCTGGGAGGCCTGGTCCCGGCCCCTCTGAGGACCCCACGGGTGCTGAGGTAAGAGACACCTTGCCCTCCCCTGCCAGTCACTCCTGGGACCCCATCCCTCAGGACCCAGCCCCCCACCCGGCTTGGCTCCTGCCCTCACCCTGGGGCTTCCGAGGCCACTGGCCAGCCCTGGGCTTCCGAGGCCACCCCAGCCCCTCCGGCCTGGCTCCAGGAAGCAGCCACAGGGGGCCCCGAGCCCTTGGTGACCATCACCGTGCAGTGTGCCTTCACCGTGACCCTGAAGGCCCGAAGACGCGCTGACCTGGGCAGCCTGCGGGCCCTGCTGGGCCAGGCCCTTCCTCGCCAGGCCCAGCTGGGGCAGCTCAGGTGGGCAGCAGGCCCGCGGCGGCGCTGGGCAGGGCGGGGCTCCGGGTGGGCAGGGGTCTGGGTGCTCGGTCCAGAGGTGCCCTCTGCTGTCCCCCTGAGGCATCTCTCTGCAGTTACCAGGCCCCAGGTGAGGCCGGGCACTGGGTCCCCATCCCCGGAGAAGCGTCCCTGCAGAAGGCCTGGCAGGACACGGCCGCGGGCGCCAGGGAGCTGCAGCTCCAGTGCCGAGTGA